TGCCTACTCCCATGGGAGACAGGCGTGAAGTTATGTATGTATGTATGTAACAACTTTTATAACTTTTAGAATCGTTATATCTCAGAAACGATGGCTTGTAAGAAAAAAGTATTAATACTTTTTTATAGATAATTTTATGATCTACAATTTTTGTCTGAGGTACTTTTATGATAAAACTTACCGTTTTGCTGAAAATCGCGAAAAACTCATTTTTTTGACCTTTGACCTTGAATTAAATTTTTTCCTTACAGGGGAATGATGGGGAACTTCTAGACATTGTTTGTAATTATGTTTTGAACAACTTCACAAAAATTCAGCTTGTTGGGACTTTATGTAACTTCACTCTCATTTTTTAGTCTAAATTGACCGGACTACAGCTCCGGTTTGCAATTTATTCGCAAACAATACGAATAAATTGAGTATAAAACCAAATTTATTAGTTTGTTAATTACTTTAAATTATTGCTAAAATACCTCATTATATTTCATTGTTGTTACCTATATGTTTACGTTTGTACTTGGTTTCGTAAACGTTTCGTGGTAAACGTAAGAAATAAATAGAGTCCTATTAAAGCCATCGTGCGTGTGTGTGTGTGTGTGTGTGTATTGAATCATCTTTATAATCGTAGAACGTAGATAAATATGTACTCAATTGAAAGTTTTAAAATGTTAGCCGTGGCTATATTACTTTTTTTTTATGGCATAAGCCAGTAAACGAGCAGACGGATCACCTGATGGTAAGCAATCGGCGTCGCCCATGGACACCTGGAACTCCAGAGGCGTTACAAGTGCGTCACCGGCTTTTTAGGGATTAGGAGTTTGAGGATCGTTGGGGATTCAGGGATTGGGGAGATTGGGAAGGGAAGGTAATCGGGCCTCCGGTAACCTCACTCACACGACGAAACACAACGCAGGCGTTACTTCACGTCGCTTTTCTGTGAGGCCGTGGTATCACTCCGGTCGAGCCGGCCCATTCGTGCCGAAGCATGGCTCTCCCACACTTGGACTTACGACACAAACTCGTACACAATAATTCGGGGCCCTATTGGAATGCTTTTTTCTTTTTCTTAACATTGCTCTACACTAGAATATTCTCCTGTATCGTAAACATACAAGTTCACATCATATATAACACCCAAACCCGAACCAAACCCGAGCGAGCGCCTCAAAGAGCCATCAGACCACTACGGATGGGGCCCAATAGAGCTGATGCCGATACGGTGCCGCGGAGAACCTAACGGGTTATCGGAGCTCCGGCTCGAAGCTCGGAGTAGGAACGGGGTGGTTTTTAGTCAGTAAGAGTCTGACACTCCCTTCCGCCTCACCCAGGTGGGAGCAGTCATTCGATGATTTTCCCCCCTTAAAAAAAATAAAAAAAACCCGAACCAACAATCTGTGGAGCACACAAAGATTAGCTCCGTGCGGGAATTGGATCCGCTGCAGCGTGTAGCGGGTGCGTGTCTGTCGTAGAAATGATCGATTCTTCGGGGCCCCCTGAGCATGGGCCCGTTGCCGCGGGCCCCGAGTTATGGTAAAAACGGACCTGCACAAATATTTACTCAGTTCCATAAGATATGAAGTTTGAAATAGTATTTGTTGTATGACAATAGGCTTTGCGGCTCTTAACATCATTGGCGAAAGACACTAATTATTCCTTTATCTATCCCGGCGAAGGATCATACATACACTTTGGGGACTAAAATATCATGTTATGATTGTGCTTATTATTAAATTCGCTAGCTACCTTGTCTTAATAGAAAAGGTTCGTCATTTCACCTTGACACAGACTTAAGTAACTTCTAATATGAAATCCATTGTTTATAGTAGTGTGGGTTGAAGATGAACTAAGTAAGTAGATATTGTTAATTTCAATATTGTATTTTATAATAGAGTAGATAGTTATAGATTTGATATCTTTAGAGTTTTCTCTATTGTTTGGACTTCTAGTTAAACAAAGTTCTAGTGAAATAAAGCTTATATGGCTACGAGTTATCTGACGGTATATGTGCATAGCTACACATAGCTACTATGTCAAAGTTTAGGAGTGGGGGCTAAAACGTCATTTCTACGTATAAAATGTACATAGAAGTGACGTCACGCGACATTTTAATTTTTTGAGTGATATGACTGATCCATGCTGCTGTGATTTATATTGCAATGTAATTTATGACTATGAAGACATTCAGATACAATGTAAATTGTTTTATGAATAAATGAAATGAAATGAAATTTCAAATCAATATATCGTCGAAAGTATTTGTTTCTGTAAGAAAATAAAAAATACGTGTCTAATGATTTAAAATAATCTACCAGACGAATATTAAAATAAAAATTAGGCATCTACCCTATTACAATAGAGATAATTAGTAGTACAGGGCATTAAAATAAAAAATCTAGTCAGTTAGGTAATGAAAAAATATTAGACACGTATTTTTTAATTTAGACGATTATAAGAAAAAGAAAATCTAAGTTTAGGAGTTGGGAGCTAGCTCGTCGTTTATAAGACAGTATAAAACGTACACAAAAGTCACGTCTCGCGATATTTGAAACTAGCTTCTGCCCGCGACTTCGTACGCGTAATCCCATTTTTTCCCGTCCTCGT